AGGGTGTTATAATGTGCTTGTTCTTTGCAGGGCCCACCACGTATCCTAACTAGAGGCAACATACATGTAGTGCCTGATTTACAATCAGGCAGCTTAACTAAAGTGTCTCTTCTTTTCCCTGCTGTTCCCTGGTCCCTTGGATTGTGTCCAGCATCGGGCTTGAATCTGACTTTTAAAAAGATTTGACAAAACTTAGAGACATTTTTTCCTTCAATACTTCGACAGGTTTGGGCCCCTATCCAGAAGAACAAAAAATTAATTCAAATTTTATATGCACGTACTGTGAGATAGGAATAAAAAGGTGTATATGATATGCACTAGATTTACAAGCTCATGAGAGTGAGATACATACACATAACTGTCATTCGAAATCACTTCAGGAGTGGGCAGTTTTAAAGAGAGACTTAGAACATCTTAAAAAGACCTGTAATGAGGAGATATAGCCAGAATGGCAGAGTCTAGGAAGAAATGCAACTGAGCTCCTGTCCACCAAACTCCTCCGAACAGACCCAGAAAATGGGCCAGACTGAATACTGATGGGGAAATCCAGAAAAAGTCACAGTGAGTTCTTTGTTCAGCCCAGGTCAGCCTAGGGAGTCAGACAGAGAAGACTGTGGACACTGGGGACCAGTGCAGGAGCACATGGTATATAGAGCACTCCAGTGCCCAGGGAGAGACTGTGCATCAGGGCAAAAGGAAGTTCCGGGTCCATACTGGGACATCTCCAGGCCTGTACAGAGGACCAGGAACAGGTGCAACTGGAAGCTTTGTTGCCTACCATCCGTTTCTGTGCCACAGACCCAGGGAAGACTGAGAAGGGGATCTGTGCACAGGAGTGGCATTCCCAGGTAGAGAGACCCTGGGCAGTATACTGCTGAAGGGGGAAATTCAGAAGCAAGCAGCTGTGGTTTGGCCCAGTCCCCAAGAGAAGAACTGGATCTAGAATCTGGCCATGTCTACAGAGAAATAGCCAGGGCAGGTGTCCTAGACCAAAGGGGAGCCTACAGTTTGGCCACCCTGAACCAGCAGAATTTCCCAGCTGGCTGGTAGAGACTGAGTCCAGCAGTCTAATATTATTGCTTTGGCTAAAATGCTACTTTCAGAGCTCAGACATGGGGTCAGCAATCAGACTTTGCCCTGGATTATACCACTTTAGGAGCACTAAAAGCTTGCAATTTTCCATACCCAGAGAAAGAAATATGGAGTCTGAATGCAGATGGAAGCATTTGCTCTCCTTTTCCATTGTTGTTTTGTTTTATTGCCTTCATTCTCATGGTTCCTCCCCTTAGTTCTAATTGTTCTTTACATGATGACTAACGGGAAAATGTGCTTAACATGAATGTATATGTAGATATTATATTACATTGTATGCCATCTTGAGGGGAGGGAAGAAGTGGGAGGGAGAGAAAATGTAAAACTCAAAATCTTATGGAAGTGAATATTGAAAACTAAAAATGAACAAATTAATTTTTAAAAAAGCTTACAATTCCTCAGTCTGTCCCAGAGATCCTATGATAACACAATACTCCATACTCCAAGAAAGCAACAGCAGGACCAGACCAGACCTTTCTTCTAGGTGTGCAGTACAGCTTAGCCCTAATATCAAGTCCTAAGTCAGAAAGTAGGCTTAAAGAATGAGCAAACAAACAAAAAAGAACCCCACTATAAAGAGCTATTATGGTAGCCAGAAAGCTCAAGATAGACACTTAAAGGTAGAAAATGACTCCAAAACACCTGCAAGCAAAGTCTCCAAAAAAAAAAAAAAAACCTCACACACAGCATGAGCACAAATTTAACTAGATTTCCTGGAAGAAATAAAGCAAAAAATTTGAAGAGTTTAAAAAAATATATATAAATAAAATGGCAGGGCTTGAGGGAAAAATGGAAAAGGAATAAGCATTATGAAATAAATAATTGGAAGGAGAATTAAGAGCTTGACACAAGAGGTACAAAGCTTTGCCCAAGCAACAAACTCCCTGAAAATTAGAATGGACCAAATTGAAACCAATGTATCCATGATACAGCAAGAAATATTAAAACAAAGTCAAAGGATTAAAAGAGAGAAGAAAGTTAGAGGTATCCCACAGAAAAAGCAACTGACCTGGAAAACAAGTCAAGAAGAAGAAAAAATTTAAGAATCATTGAACCATATGAAACCCATGAACAAAAGAAAAAAAAATATCCTAGACATTATGTTTGAAGAAACATAAAAGAAAACTGCCAAGATCTCTTAGAATCATAGGGATATGAAATGAATCTACCAGTCACCTCCTGAAAAAAATCCCAAAAGGAAAACCTCCAGACATCATAGTCAAAATCCAAAGCTTCCAGGTCAAAGAAAAAAAAATACTACAAGAGTCAGAAAGAAAGAATTCAAATACCGAAGAGTTACAGTCAGGAGCAATAATGATTTAGTAGCCACAATCATAAAACAATGGAGGACTTGGAATACATTATTCCAGGAATCAAAAGATATAAATTTACAGCCAAGAATCACTAACCAGAAATGCTTGTGACTTTTAGAAAATAGACAGGATTGACTTCTCTTTTGGGTACAAAGTTTGTTGACATGTTATAACTGGGAGAAGAATGATGATTTTGCTTCTCGTTAACATTTTCTCTACCTATAATACAAAAAATAAATAAAAATAAACCAATGCTTTCCTCTATTCCTGAAACAGAAATATGTATCCATTGTCTATTTCATCTAGTTTTATGTAATTCATTTTACAAGATTCTTTACTGCCTCCTTATCCCTTTGTATTATCTTTGGACTAAGAGAAGTCATATGTTTTAAATAATCAGCAAAAGAGACAGAAATATGAAAAAAAAAGGAATAAACTATCGAAATAGGAGCTAGTATTTACATAGCTCTTTAAATTTTGCAAGGTGCTTAACTTATGTGATTTCATTTGGTTTTCACAACGCTGTGAGGCAGGTATTATTATTATCCCCATATTATGAGTGAGGAAACCCAAGATTGAGATTGTGACTTATCCAAGATCACACAGGTAGTTTCTGAGGCAAGATCTGAACTACACTCTTTCCTGCCTCCAAGTTGAGTGTGTTACATGCACGTCCCTAGCTCTGTAGGACCATAGATTTAGAACTAGAGGAATCTGAGATATCATTTACTCCAATACCTTCATTTTATCAAATGAGGAAACTGAGACCCAGATCTATTGAATAATTTGCCTAAGTTCACGTAGATAGTAAGTGACAGAGCTGGGGTTTAAACCTGTTATGGGATTAGGAATTTAGATCTGGTTCAAACCTCTAAGGCCATCTAGTTCAACCTTCTAATTGTAGATGAGAGAAAATTGAGGCCCAAAGCGGTGATAACTGGCCCAGGTTCGCACAAGAAGTGACAGAACCAACATTCAAACCTGTATTATCTAATTTGAAATCCAGACCTTTTTCCACTATACAATTTTGCCTCTCTGTGGTGCTCAAGAGAGCAGCTAGTTGGCACACTGGATAGAGCACCAGGTCTGGAGTCAGGAGGACTCATCTTCCTGAGTTCAAATCTGGCCTCAGACATTTAGTAGCTGTGTGACCCTGGACAAGTTACTTAAACCTGTTTGTCTCAGTTTCCTCATCTGTAAAATAGGAGAAGGAAATTGCAAACCACTCCAGTATCTTTGCCAAGAAGACCCAAATTAGGTCACAAAGGGTTAACACAACTGAAAAAAAAATGACTGAAAAGAGTCCTTTACCTTCAAATCCAAACTGTTTTCTGCAATGACTGATGGGGAACTGATAAGGAAGAGTACATGAGCCTACTATACAGAGCCCTGTGGAGGAAAAGGGAAATATGTCATCAGTTATAAAATTACAGATAATATCTTTCTCTCTAACAGCTGAAAGAAATGGGATCTATATTCCTTCTTACAGGCAAAAAAAATGAAATTATAAACATGATAGGCACTATTTACAATATACAAAAGGCATTTCCAGGTTGGCCTCATTGGTTATGCTTGTGGTCTGATGTTATAATAAGAGGTTGGTAAATGACAGCCAGAGGGCCAAATCTAGCCTGCTTTTTAAAAAATGTAAAGCTATTCTTAACTCCCAGGCCATACAAAAACAGGCAGTGGCCAGGACAGGATTTGGGCTACGATCTCTAGTTTGCTGATCTATTATATATAATAAAATTTTAAAGATGAAGGTGTTAAGGGTACTGGGCTTCCTGACTGGGTTGAGGGTATGCTTAACTCGAATGATACAGAAAGGGATTGGCAAATTCACTAAGTAGATTTAGTTGTAAAGAAGGCTTCACACAATTCCTCTCTTCTCCCACTATACACACACACACATACACACACATAGTGTAGAAGGGATTCGTGGTCCAGGTATGGGTTAGACTACATGGTCTCTGAGGTTCACTAATTTCAAGATTGAAATATACACACATATATAATATATATACCTACATATATATGTACATATGTATATATGTAAAATGAGCTGGAGATATGTATATATATACATATACACATGTGTATGTATATGTGAATATATTATCATCAAAAATTAATTTCACACTTTTCTGTCAAATCAGAAATGAAATTCACATATAGAAATAGTACCCAAAAGGTGAAATACTCTCAATGTAAAATGGGTGTTTCTGTTTAGCTGAGCAGGAGTTCCTTTATATTTCCCCCTCTCTACTGCCAGCCACTTTGGCTCTCTCCTATCCATTTTTTTATGAAACAAAGATTCTTAATCAGTTTTGTGCAATGTACTCCTTTGGCAGTCAGGTCAAGGTAATGGCTTCCCTTCCAGAATGGTGTTTATAAAAGTGTAAAATTAAAAAAAAAACCATAGAATTACAAAAGGAAACTAATTATATTGAAATAGTTATCAAAATATGTATTTTAAGTTCACTGACACCAGTTTAAGAAACCCTTCCCCAGAGCCATGCCTGGCTCTCATCAAGTTAGGCACAGAATGTTTATAGAGTCTCCTTAGGGACAACTGATGCTCTGGTGACCATGGTTACAGGGGCCAGGCTTATAGTTCCTCAAATGATAGTTGAGTTGGAATGATTATAAAAATTTTTGTTCTAAGGCTGTGCTTTGTTATTGAAGAATCTAAGGACACCCAGTCTCCTCGAAAAGGGAAAGTAAAGCGAGGAAAGTGAAAAACAGTGAGTATCTCAAGGGATCATCACATTGATTCCAAGTTTATTCATGAGTGCCCCATAGAGTAGAAGTGAATTAGAATCTAAGGCTCAGACAATACCTTCTACATGAAGCCTTGCCTTATTCTTCCCAATAGCTCATGCCCTCTTTCTCCAAAATATACCTTTTAGTTTTATCATACATAGTTTGTATGAATTACACGCATGTGTACAAGCGCACTAAAAAAGAACTGAACTAGATACCACTGTGGTACTTTCTAGTTCTGACACACTCCTATCCTAAAGTGGGTCTAAAGCTTAATTTCATGTTGAAAATAGTTGCCTTGACTTGTATCTCAAGTTTCTTTTTTCTCCATATCCCTAGACAATATAGTGTTTGAGTGGAAGAACAAAGTTGCAGCTTTACCCTCTACATTTCTTGATGATTTTACCACCACTTCCACTACCACCACTATTACCACCACTTCCACTACCACCACTATTACCACCACTTCCTGCCATCTCTTGGATGTTTAGACCATTCTCCCACCTCTGTTTATTGAAGCTGTCCAAAACAGCATTGAATCTTGTCCCACCCAACAATTTATGTTGCTCCCTTTCTTTAAAATCTGTTCAATTCTACAGATACATATTAAACTCCTGCTAAGTATAAGACAGGGAGCAAAGCACTGGGGAAAGGGATCCAACTTGTGATCTCATTCTAGGTATAGGTATAACAAATTCCCAAGCGAGGAAATTCTTTCTACCAATGCAAGTGGGTGCTTTCTCTAAAAAGTTGGCTCCCAGAGCACCATGAAGGTTGATTTGCCCAGGAGTCACACGACCTAAATATATCTAAAGCACTGCTTTTTGGCTTTAAGGAGAGGTCTCTATCACTATGCCACAAGAGAAAAGCAATCCTTGGGCTTAAAGAATTTATATTCTACTGTCACAATTTATATGGAGATGAATATTTACCTAAAATACAAGTTAATATGAGGAATGAGAGCACTAACTGAGACAGCCAGGAGAGGCTTCCTATAGGAAGTGGACCTGAGCTATACCTGACAGAAGGCTCTAGAGGCTAAAAGACAGAAAAGAGAACAGGTTATAGCCCAGTTTGGCTAGATCATAGAATGACTAAAAGTGAATAATGTGAAATGAGACAAGCAAATTAGGTTGGAACCAGGTGGGGGTATTTCATCCTAGGACCAATAGGGAGATCTGACAGACCTTGTACAGGGGAGTGGCAAGGTCAGACAGGTGCTTTAGGGAGATTATTATGGTAGCTTCGTGGAAGAGTGAATAAGGGAGAGATTTGAAGAAAGTAAAACAAGTATGATGCTGTTATAATATTCTGGAGATGAAAGAACGAGGGTCTGAACTAAGACTGTGTTCAGGAAATAGGAGAGGAAGATGTGAGACATATTGTGGATATAAAAGTAATTGGCTTGGCCAATAAATAGGTATAGGGGAAGGGGAAGGGGAAGGATTGAGAAAAGGAGAAAAGTTGAAGTTTTGGGGGCCTGAGAAACTGGTAATGCCTACACAGAAGAGGGGAAGTCTGGAGGAAGGGAGAGTTTTAGGAGGGAATATGAGTTCTGTTTTAGGCAAGTTGAGTTTGAGATGTCAATAAGAAATCCAGCTGAAACTGTTTAGTTAGTAATTGGTGATGTGGGACTGAGAGTTCAGAAGAAAGCGGAAGTCTACACATGTAGAATTTGGAAGTTTTCTGTGTTTAGACCTTGTGTGAGAGGCTCCCTCCTCACATAAAAGGCCCACATGCACTTTGTGGACCTCCCAGTTCTCTTGATTATAGCCTTACCCAGATGGCCTGCAAACTTCAATATCTGACACCAATCTGAGAGTAATCACTAGCTCACTTTATAAGAGCTCAGGCTCCCAAGGCTCAGAACTTGAACTTATTTACAAGTTAATGGAAGCAGATTGGTAGGACTCTGATCTGAGCCTGTAGAAATCAGTGATACAACCCAAGAAACAACCCTCCCCAAGAGACCAGTACAATCTGGTACATGGCATGGCATGACTCTCCCTTCCGTGCTCTACAAGCCAGCCAAAATAGCCTTCTCTCTCTTCCTCACACAAAATGCTCCATCTCTCATCTCTGTGCCCATATTTTGGCTTTCCTCCATGAATGGCATTCCCTTTCCTCACTGCCATTTCACAGAATCCCTGTCTTCCTTCAATAATCAAGCATTACCTTCTACATGAAGCCTTTCCTGATCTCCTTGCCTGAACTTCTTCTCAAACTACCTTGTACTTTGTACTTATTTGTATTTATTTACTTTACATTCATTCGATTTATGCCTTCTTTGTTAGAATGTTAAGTTTCTTGTAAGGATTGCAGCACTCATAAAATTTGTATCCCCAATTCTTGGCATATAGTAGACACTTAAACACTTGATGATTTATTGATTGATAGCACTGCACCTGGAGGCAACTAATAGTACAGTGGGGTCAGGAAAACTTATCTTGGTGAGTTCAAATCCAGCCTTCAGACACTTACTACATGTGTGGCCCTGAAAAAGTCACTTAACCCTGTTTGCTCCAATTTCCTCATCTGTAAAATGGACATAATAATAGAACCTACCTCCCATGGTTGTTGTAAGAATAACATTTTCAAAGCACTATATAAATGCTGGCTATTATTTTTAATCCTCCCTCGATCAATTCTGTACCTCCATTATAATCTTCAACCTTCTTTTGCATATGGTTTTCACCATATTTCACTGCATCATTTCACTTCAAAATCAAGCAATAGTGTGAGTAGTTTTGGGAATATCTCTTTCTTACCATGAAGGAATGCTCCTGTCACTAATCTCATGTAGGCTTATGGTGAACCACTGTTGCTTTCTTCTCTCTCCAAGCAACCAGTTGGTGCATCTCCTACTCATATCAACACTTTCTGAGTGTGGAGTTTCAAGGGATCACTTGTACTTCTTCCCTGATTGATACTCCATCTCTACAACAGAGCATTTAAATTACACAAGACTGTTTCCAAAAAATATTGAGAAAAGAGGGTTGGAGAGTACCATGTCATCCCAGCAAGGCTACCTAGATGTTGGTAAATTGGAGGAAATTATATTCCCAAACTGTATGATTAAAGAAAATCATTGACCATACAGTAACTGATGAGGTTACCAAGGGAGAAAATGTAGAGAGAGAAGAAACAAAGGCCTAGGCCAGAGTCTTTTTGTTACATCCACACAAGATATAGACAGTCATCTAGCAAGTGAAACTTCTCAATCCTGGCTTACGCTCAGTATCTGCTCCTAAGCCTGAGCCATTAAGTGCTGCTAGAGGAAGTCACAAAATCATTGTAACTAAGTTCTAGACACTTAAAAAAACTACATTTTTTCTTTTTTTGACTTTTTTTCATTGACATACATTTATTTCATATTCCTCTAACCTCTTCTCCCCTTGCCATTGAAAAAGAAAAACAAGCAAACAAACAAAAAACAAAGCTAGTAACAAATATTCAGTCAAACTCCTTCATTAACCATGTGTAAAAACTTACATCTCATTCTGCCTCTTGAGTACATCACCTCTCTCTCAGGATGCAAATAACATTCTTCATCATTAGTCCTCTGGAATCATGGCTTGCCATTGTATTTATCAAAGTTCTTAAGTCTATTAATATTGTTGGTCTTTACAATGTTACTGCTATTTTATAATTTTTTCTCCTGGTTCAGCTCACTTCACTATGTCTCAGTTTGTACAAATCTTCCCAGATTTCTCTGTAACCATCCTTTTCTTCATTTCTAATAACACAATAATATTCCATAATATTCATATACCATAATTAGTTCAGCCATTTGCCAATTGATAGGTATCCCCTTAATTTCTGGTTATTTGCTATAACAAAAAGGACTGTTTAAGTATTTTTGAATATATGGGTCCTTTTCTTCTTTCTTTGATCTCTTTGGTTTATAGGCCTAGTAGTGCCACCATGCAGTCAAAAAGTATATACACAGTTCAGTGACTTTTGAGGAATAATTCCATATTTACTTTCAGGATGATTGGATTGATCTATAGCTACACCAGCAGCATATTAAATGTTATCTCCATATTCCTGCTCATCCCAGTTGAATCCTCACCAATGTATAGCAAACATGGCTGTTCCAGAATTTTTCTTCTCTCTTCAAGCCCCCAATTCTACCTTCACCCCCATCTCTTTCAGCAGATGATCTGTGCTTCCATTTTAATGATAGTTCAGCCATTTGTCCTAAGTCCCTTCATCCCTCAGTCTCCACACCTCAGAAATTTTCCAAAATTTTCCCCATCTTTTGCTCCTTTGCTAAACTCTCAGAGAATTTAGTGGCCTTCCTTACCAATGAAAATCTCTACACTTTACTTAAATCATTCTTTCTCCTATGAGAACTTACCTTATTGATCATTTTCATCCCCAGTCTCTTAAATTCAAACTCTGCCTATCTACTAGCTCCTTTCTCACTGTCTGGAAACATTTTTAGGTCTTCCTTATCCTAAAAACAAACAAACAAAAGAAAACCCTTTCTTAATCCTATCATCTCTTCAAGATATTTTTTTCTTCCCTACTTCACTGTTAAGCTAGTAGGAAAAGTATTCTATCTCTGCTCACTGCTTCATTTCCTCACCCTCTTAATTCTAGCCTTTAAACCTACCAACCCTTCAATGACAGTTTATGTCATTTATGTCATGAGTTTATGCTCAACCTAATGATTTTTTTCTCTCATTCTCATTTACCTTTCTTCTTCATTCAACACTGTTAACCATCCTCTCTATAGGTAAAAAAAAATAGTAGAACTATAAGATAGAGGAGGCTTGGCATGGCAGCAGTTCATGTGGGAAAAAATCTGGTTTTAATTGACTGAAAGCTTAATATGAGCCAATAGTATGATGCAGCATCTAAAAAATTTAGCACAATATTGAGCTGGCTTAATAGAAACACAGTGCCTTGTCCTAAGAAAATGATTTTCCTGAAGTACAGGTCTGACAACGGCCCTCCTCTATTCAACCAACTCCAATGACTCCCTATTGCCTCTAGGATCAAACAGAAACTCTCCTGTTTGTATAGCATATGGATGGAGAGATGGCCTCAGAGTCAGGACCACTGGATTTAAGTCCTGCCTATGACACATACTGGCTGTATAATCCTGGCCAAGTCACTTGTTCCTCAGTGCTATAGGCAACTAAGACTACATATTGCAGAGAAGGTTCTGAGCTGCATTGGAAGGGGGATTTTCCTCACCTGGGAGTTCCCTAGACCAATAAAAACAGAGGTCCAATTCCTATCTATCTCTATCAAAACCTGCCCCACCTTGCCTCTCCAGCCCTATGACAAACTATGGTGCTATTTCTTATACGCAACGCTTCATCTCCTGGCATCATGCTTTTGCCAAGGCTACCTACTGTTCCTAAAATGTAGTCCCACTTCAGGTCCATCCCTTGGAACTCCTAGTTCTTTCAAGACCTTGCTTAAGAGCCAACACTTACATGAAGCCTTTCATGATCCCCTAGTTGCTTCTCTCCTCCCAACTACTTTGTATTTATTTTGCATTGACTCATCTGTCTACATCATGTTTCCAAAGGAGAATGTAAATTCCTTGAGAACAAGTTCTGTTTTTTACTTTGTATCCTCAGAATCTAGCACAGGGTTCTGGTATGCAGATGGTACTTAATAAATGCTTGTTAGGCATGCTTGTAAGATTTTTGGGTAATCTAGAGCTATGATGTAAAGATATAGTTAGCTCTGTAGATAACAATCAGTATAAAAATATAGACTAGAACAATGGGTACAAAAAATCAGCCTCACAAGTTGATGGGTGAGGGGCATGATTGGGCAATAGTTCATGAGGAAAAAAAGATCTAGGGTTTTCATAAACTGTATACAGGGCACAAAAATGAAAACTGAGTTAATAGTGTGACATAGCAACAAAGCAAGCTAACATGAAATAAGGCTGAATTGAGAGGCATAAAGCTGTTGCTGGTTATGCTTCATTTTTGAAGAGGATCAATGACATAAAGTAAAGAATGGGGAAGGTATGCCATCCTGTTATCATACTCTGCCCTGAGCAGACTCCATTTGGAATAGTGTGCTCAGTTCTGGACACCATATTTTAGGAAGGATATTGACCAGGATGGTGAGAGGATGTGAGACCATATTATATAAGGATAGATGGATGGAGTTGAGGTTATTTAATTTTTTTTTTGTTTTTTGGGGGTTTTTTTGGCTAGGCAATGGGGTTAAGTGACGTGCCCAGGGTCACACAGCTAGTGTTGTGTGTCTGAGGCCAGATTTGAATTCAGGTCCTCCTGAATCCAGGGACTGTACTCTATCCACTGCACTACCTAGCTGCCCCGAGGTTATTTAATTTTGAAAAAAAAAAACTTAGGGAGTATGTGATAACTATCTTCACATATTTGAAAGCCCAGTTAGTAAAACAAAAATTGTTCTCATTTATGTAGTACTTTAAGTTTTGTAAATCACATATGATTATCTCATTTGATCATCACAACAGCCACAGGAGGTAGGTTCTATTATCTCCCTTTTACCAATGAGGAAATTGAGAAAGACATAGTTTAAGTGACTTGCCCAGTCACTTAGACAGTTAAAGTGTCTAAGGTGTAATTTGAATTTGGGTCTTCCAAAATCAAGAGTAGCAACATCCTCTGTGACACATTGCCTCTCTCAAAACTTGTTCTGTTTGACTCCAGAAAGAAGAGCTAAGAAGAATAGATGGAAGCTATAGAAAGACAGATTTTAGCTGAGGTAAGAAGCAACTAATAATTAGAGCTGTCCAAGGGCTCTTACTGGGCCAGGAGGTAGGTGGGGCCCCTTTGCTGAAGGTTGTTAACTGGAGGGTGGATAATGATATTGTAAAAAGAAGCCTTGGTCAATTACAGGTAGGACTAGACCAAAGATTCACAACCTTTTGTGTGTGATGGACCCCTTCAGCAAGAGTTTGATGAAGTCTAGGGACCCATTCTCAGAATAATGCTCTTAAATGAATCAAATAAAATATGTAGGAAACCAATTATAATGAAACACAGCTACCAAAATATTTAAAAACAAATTTATAATATACCAATACATATGTTTCTTATATTAAAATATTACTTAACAAGGTAACAAATTTTAAATGAAGGCAAATTAAAGTTAAATTTATTTTTAAATGAAAGTGTGAAACTGTTATTTAAGATGAATAAAGAATAAAAAAATAGGGCATGTTTGAATAAGAATAGCAACAGGCATGTCATGTTGGACATCCAAATAATTTTCAACAGTGAAGTACATTGAAAATATATTTTATTTCTATTGGTGACAAAGTTACAAGTATTGCTAATGTCACTGTGGTGTATTGCTTACATTCATAATTGAAGGAAAGGCTAAATTTCAGTTAGAATTTAGGAAAAATAAAAATGTGGTTTTTCTTCTATCCAAATTCATGGACTTCCTGAAGTCTACAAATATCAGCTTAAGACCTCTGGACTAGATAATCTCTGAGTCCTCTCACTTATGAAATTCTGTGAAAACAACTATGGGGAAGGGGGTAAGGAACAGTGGGAAGTGTGAATTATTCTAAACTCAATAACTCAAATTCCCCTAGGGTGGTAGTTATAGAATAGAATCATTCTATATGACCCTGATAACTAATCCCATTTTATTCTCTCAGAGGGAAACCAACGTATAATGTGCCTTTTTCTTTTTATATTGCAATCACTCCTTGATCTTTCCTCCATAGATTCCTCCCATTTATGAAATTTAAAAAAATAAGCAAAACCAACCAACTCAGTGACCATATCTGACATTGTACACAACATTACTTACCCACAGTCCCCCATATTTCTACATTAGAGAGCAAAGTATGTTTCATCTGTTTTCTGGTAGCCAAGATTAAACACCGAATTATAGGGAAGAAAAGACTGGAAACTGCTCTTCTAATAGATGCTTAATAAATGTGTTGGTTCAGCAGTTGGCTAAGATGCTTATCTCTGACACTAAATGGTAAAAGTTGTTTATTTCTCTTCTCAACTCTCCCAAAAGGGGTCTGCTCTGGGAACTAATGTGATAATGTCAGACAGGCCACTGTTGTACAAAAGTCACCAACCAGTGTTCCACAGCCATACTGGCACCAAAAGACAGGAGGAACATGGATCTGATGAGTCATTAGTAATTTAGTGTAAATGAGTTTAATGCCTTATCGTGCCTCCCAGGATGTGTATTTTATATGGCTTTATGTATATTTTAAATATTTATATTTAGACATTTTATTTATATATTTTTCATATAAATATGTATGGTATTTATATTTTAAAACAGGACCCTGTAGGCACCAAGGAGACAGCTTATCATCCAGGGTCAAGAATAACAAATAGGTGTAAGTCTAAATGTAGTAATAGGTTCTGAGACTGTAGGGCTCTGTATGGGACTGGAGGTTTGGAGAGGTGTCTCTGACATTGAGCTATGGGTCAGGGTGTGAGAGATGGAGAGAATGAGTCATGAGTTTAAACCAGCCATTTATGTTAACATCAGATTCAGGCCAGTACTTGCTTTTTGCATGGGTTCCTGTAATCTAGACTAGGCCACATGTATTTTGACCTGCTCCATCATTCTTTTTAGCCAGAAAGCTCCTGTTGGACAGTTGTGCAGCCTGGATCTCATGCCCCCTCTTTTACTCTGCTGTCCATTCCACTTCTGCAGAAAGCAAAAGATGTTTCCTGCCTAAAGATACTGCTGGGATCATCTTTGTGTTCCTCAGTTCTCTTCACCATCCTCCTAGATCTGGTGATAATCAGAAAGATTGATCATTATAATTCATTCATACGCAGGGACATTGTCCTTTGGCAAGGAGGAAGAGGAGGAGGAGGAAGAAGAAGAAGAAGAAGAAGAAGAAGAAGAAGAAGAAGAAGAAGAAGGAGAAGAAGAAGAAGAAGAAGAAGAAGAAGAAAAAGAAAGAAAGAAAGAGAAGAGAGAGAGAGAGAGAGAGAAAGAAAGAAAGAAAGAAAGAAAGAAAGAAAGAAAGAAAGAAAGAAAGAAAGAAAGAAAGAAAGAAAGAAAGAAAGAAAGAAAGAAAGAAAGAAAGAAAGAAAAAGTTATATGTAGGACCAAGAGCTGTTCCCCAATAGATGTCATCAAAGGATATGAACAAGCAGTTCTCAATAGAATTGCAAGCTATAAATAGTCATGTGAAAGAATAATTTTAAAATGTAAATTAAAACTATTTTAAGGGTCATGGAATCAGATATTAAGAGCTATAAAGGACATTAGAAACAATTTAGTCCAACTGCATAATTTTACAGAAGAAGAAACTGAGGCATGGAAAGATTAAGAGATGTATCTAGCACCCATGCTTAAGATGAGTCATCAGTAACTTAGTATAAATGAGTTTAATGCCTTATCATGCCTCCAAGGATGTGTATTTTATATACCTTTATTATATATCTCATTATGCATCTAGAGTTCTAGTCATTCTTTCACTTCATATTCAATAAATTAGCAAAAATGATGGAAAACGAAAATAGTCAAGGCTGGAGAGGCTTAGGAAAGACAGAGACACTAAAATGCTTTTATACAATAAGCTTCTTGAGGGCAGGAATTATTTTATTTTCATCTTTGTAATCACAGCACGTAGCATAATGCATGATACACAGCAGGTGCTTAATAAACAAGTGCTTGTTGATTAGACCCCTTCCTGTGCTCTATGGTTAAGCCAAAATGACCTCCTTGTTGTTGTTCACATACAATAATTCACCTCCTATCTTCATGACTTATGGATTAGGTCAACCATTCTGGAAAACAATTTGGAAATATGACAAAAATGTTATTAAAATGTCAATATCCTTTAATCCTGAGATCCCTCTGTTAGGCAAATACCTTAAGAAGGTCAAAGACAGAGTGGCCCCATATGTATCAAAATGTTCGTGACATCATTTTTTCGTGGTAGCAAAAATCTGGAAACAAAATGGATGCCAAATAATTAAGCAACAGCTATACCAAATTGTGATAAAATAATATGCAAGATTATTACACTATATGACAGTTATAAGGGGTTCCAAGAAGCATAGGAAGATATACGAAGTAACAACTGAATGCTGGGCAATTATAATGACTAAGCTACAATCAGCTTATGGAGAGTGAGGACGATTTCATTTTTGTCTTTGTAATCACACCACTTAGCACAATACCTGACACACAACACGTGCTTAATTAATGCTTGTTGGTTACTCTTCTTCCTGTACTCTATTATGATTAAGCCAAACTTCACACAACAGTCGACTTCCCATTCTCTCTGCCTTTTCAATGGCTATCTCCCATGGCTGGAATGCCCACCTCACTTCTGTCTTTGAGCATCCCTTGTTTCCTCCAAATCTCTGCTTAAGTAGCATTTTCTTTGTGTTATTTTCTAATACCATCCCCCTCCCCCCACTAGCTGCTAATATCTTCCCAAATGACCTTGCATTTATTCTGAAAATGTTTTGAATATACCTGTTTATGTACATGTTGTCTCTCTTGATGGAATGGAAGCTGCCTGAGGGCAGGGAGTGTTCCATTTTTGTCTTTGTATCCCCAGCACCTAGCACAGTGCCTGTTACATAGTAGGGACTTAATAAATTCTTGTTGGTACCAGAGAAGACATAAGAAAATTCACTTCTATTCTTTAATTGAAAAGATGGGGAACTCTGAGTATGGAATATTATAAATAGTTGTATTATTTCAGTTGTTTTGACTGAGCTTTCAAAAAAAATCTTTATTATAAAGGGAAGAGTCACAGGATACGGGAGAGGAGGGATATATTTGAAAATAAATGTGATATAAAAATAAAATTAATTAAACATAAAAAACCCAGGTGTAATGGGGACAAAGCCCTATTTGGAATGAAAAACAGGGTTTTGAAGGTACCTGTCTAAGTGGTGGTACAGAGGAAAAGCAACTTCTGTAGCAGAGTAGCATGAGGCTACATGATCAGCACTCTTGCTTTATCACCATCTCTTCCTAATTCTTGTATTGGCTCAGGATGGAGGAATTACGATAAGTCACATACAAACAACAGTCCCAGGTAATGAAGCTACTCAGTGGTACGATTTAAGAGATGTTAGAGGAAAGTCTTACTTCCCAAAATTATCACACACACACACCCCAAAAAAAGATGCTAGAGTTTTGGAAATCCCACTGTTTACAAGTCATTCCTTTGGGTTCCTCTGTGAATGTAAATATTGATGGGATAAGATGGGATAAAAGATTGATGGGATAAGAGCCAAAGGGCATTAAAATATTTTAAACTAAAATGACTAGTGGACCCATCAAACACTTTCCTTTTTGTCAAGGTAACCAGGATAGCTGTATAGTACTGGGTATTTAATGTTGGTGCTGGTGGCTGGGGGAGATAGAGTAAAGGTGTTAGAAGGAAATAAACACGAAAAAAAAGAAATAGGACCGACTGCCAACTTGGTCAGTTTGTCCAAGGTCAGTCCTGCCTAAGCAATCTGGGGAAGGAAAACATCTGGCTCTCTCTTATTCCACATGATTCCTAACATATATTTAAGCATGTTTAATTAATCCTATAGCCCAGGCCAGCCCTAAGCAAATGACAGTAATTCACATCTATATAGTTCTTAAATGTTACAATATGTTTTCCTTTAGCAACTCTGTGAATAGGTAGCACATACCCATTTTACAGATCATAGGACCATAGACAGACAAGCAATATACAATCTATCAATGGGCCCACACCTGAAGCCTTTCTAGCTTGGCAAAACCTGCCAGAGCTTGTACTCCAGTGGTATAGCTTCTTTGAGCCCAGACTCTCCTCAATCAATGCACGAACACCTATTAAGTGCCTACTGTGTACCAGGCACCAGAAACAAGATCAAAGAATGAGACATTCCCTATTCTCAGAGCTTTCATTCTAATGGGAGGGGCGACAAGCACGTGAATACGTATACATACAGCACAAATATAAAGTGAATACATACAAATCCATAAAAAGTAGTTAAATACAAGGTCATTTGGGTGGGAGGACACTGGCAGTTTGGAGGATGGGTCAGGAAAGATGTTTTTCAAAAGATGGCAAGTAATAAAGAAGAGAAAGACTCTTTGAGGCAGAGGTAAGGAGAGTGTACATTATAGGAATGCGGAATGAGCAAATGCAAAGGTGTAGAGATAGGAGATGGAGAGTCATATGCAAGGAACAGAGACTACATCAGACAGATCTAATCTTATTTCTAACAAGCATCTGTGGTTGACCACGTCCTCATATTTTTTCTGGAGTCCTTCTGTTTGTGACATGACAGCAAAGGACAGATTTGTTAGCCATACCAGAGAGTGAATTTTCTTAGCCTCCCAACCCATTTTTGTGGTTTTTGTGTTCTAAATGGGGACATAATCACAAGTTATTCCCCTATTTCATAACTCTATTTCCAAGGACACAATTACTATAAACTTAGGGCCTTTTAAAATCTGCCTACCGCATTAGTCATGAACCTAATATAGTGAGAGCTAGGGTTTTTATACATACATGTGTGTGTGCATATATATATATATATATATATGTATATATGTATATGTATGTATGAAATACGAGTTATCTACATAGAAATGATCAATGACACTACTAGGTCTTTTTTTTAAAAGATGATTAGGGAAAAGAGGAAAGAATCTATATGTTCTAAAATATTTATGGCAGCTTTCTTTGGGGTAGCAAAGAACTATGGAGAAGCCCATCAGTTGGGGAATGGCTGAACAAATTGTAGTGTATGATTGTGATGTAGAATACTATTGTGCTGTAAGAAATGATGAGCTCAATGATTTTAGAAAAAACGTAGATAGATTTGCACAAAATAATGAAGAGTGAAATGGGCAGAATCAAGACAATGTTGTATGCAGTAAAGAGCAATGTTGTTTTAAGAATTGCTTTGGTGACTAAATCATTTTGACTATTATACATACCCAAATTAACTGCAAAGGACATATGAAAGAAGACACTATCTGCATCCAGAGAAAGAACTGATAAATATAAGTATGTATAGGATGATTTTGCATATATGAGTATATGCATGCATATGTGTGTGTGTGTGTGTGTCTAATGGTAATCATCCTTAGGGTTGGAGGGGAGGGAATAAAAAAGAAAAAAAAAGAAATTTACAAGAAAACTATTACATATTTAAAAGGAATAGCAAGTTGTACATAATAGAATTGCACTTTCATATGCAATCATCTCCTTTTTATTATATTATGTTAAGGAAATGCTTGTTTTGTTCCATAAATTGGAAACAAAATCACAGATTTTTTTTAAAATGGAGGGAAAAAAAGAAATGATCTTCAACCCATGGATGCTGATAAGGCTATCAATAGAGGAGGAGGAGGAGGAGGAGGAGAAGGAGAAGAAGAAGGAGGAGGAGAAGGAGAAGGAGAAGGAGAAGGAGGAGGAGAAGGAGAAGGAGAAGGAGAAGGAGAAGGAGGAGGAGAAGGAGAAGGAGAAGGAGGAGGAGAAGGAGAAGGAGAAGGAGAAGGAGAAGGAGAAGGAGAAGGAGAAGGAGAAGGAGAAGGAGAAGGAGAAGGAGAAGGAGAAGGAGAAGGAGAAGGAGAAGGAGAAGGAGGAGAAGGAGAAGGAGAAGGAGGAGAAGGAGAAGGAGAAGGAGAAGGAGGAGAAGGAGAAGGAGGAAGAGGAGGAGAAGGAGGAGGAGGAGGAGAAGGAGGAGGAGGAGGAGGAAGGAGGAGGAGGAGGAGGAGAAGAAGGAGGAGGAGGAGAGAGGAGGAGGAGGAGGAGGAGGAGGAGGAAGAAGAAAATAGAAAACAGAACATAAGATAGAACCTTGGAGAAAACTTCTGTGCTAAGATGAGAATTTGTCTGATTCAGCTGGTAGCAAACCAAAGTAACCACTTCCCTCCAATGGACAGCACAGACCTACTCCCACTGCCTTAGAGCCACCTTCAGACACATTCCACCCTGGGACCACTATCATCTTTTCCCCTGGGCTAAGCATCAGTTTCCTAGACAAGCTGACCTGACCTACCCTCATTCTATTGAGTGTTGGAGCACTTGACGAAATAATGCATTATCTTAGCCATGCCCATTGACTGCATCTCCCTACATATGATATTCCAGATCTCCTCCACTTGGCTCTCTTCAGCTCCTTTCTTACTATCTGAAGACCTCAGCTGCTGTGAAAGAACCATTACAAGAAACAATTATTATGCTAGCATACTCCTGGAGTGGTTAGTACCACAACACTGAGACTCCAGGAAGTCCAAAAAGTCATGTGCTCTGGAGACCCCAAATGACTCTTGATTAATTTCCCCTTCAAGGAAACCCAGTAGAAAGCAGGAATTGGAGAGTACCCTGAAATCTCTTTTTCCTCTTCAGTCAGTTCTAGACAGAGCCTTTACTTTCTTGCTTTGTACTTCTGTCTCTCATACTAATTTACATAATCATTCATTCTTTTACTCAATAAACTCCTATGACTTTTAATTGCCTCTAGTATAAGATATAAATTTCTCTGTTCTGATTTTAAAGCCCTTTATAACCAGCCCCAACTTTTTTTTTTACACATTCTCATAATATATCGCTCCTTTTTTCCAGTTCAAATCGGCCTTCTCTCAGTTCTTCACACATAACAGTCTCTCTCCCATCTCCCATTTAAAACTGACCATCCCACATGACTGGAATTTATTCCTTCTTCACCTCATCTGATAGAATCACCCATTTCCTTTAAGACTCAGATGAAATAATCACCTTTTTCTCTACATTTCCCCAATCTCCAGCCTTCCATAACTATATTGTATTTCGTTATCTTGTATTTATTTCGTATTTATTCTTCATATGTGTACATTTGTATTTCTGTGTGTGCATATATTTATATATGTTCATATATGTATATCTTCTCCTCTATTGCATGTAAGCTTCTTAAAAGTAGACTGCTTCATTTTTTGTCTTTGTCTTGCCACCACCCAGGACAGTGCCTAATATATAGCATTTGATAAATGCTTGTCAATTGATTGGTTGACTGCTGAGGGGTTTGGAGATTGCCACTCAGAAATGGATCATTTATAATTCAAGGACAGTCACAGCACTACCTTCCTTATTTTATTTTATTTTTTTTAGGCAATTGAGGTTAAGTGACTTGCCCAGGGTCACACAGCTAGTAATTGTCAAGTGTTTGGTCTGAGGCCAGAGTTGAACTTAGGTCCTCCTGACTTCAGGGCCAGTGCTCTATGCACTGCACCACCGAACTGCCCCAGCACTACCTTCTTTAAAGCAGCATTCTCACACCAAGAAGTTTCCTCATGTTTTACCCCAGCTGACACTCCTGTTCCAGACAGACATATTATAGACTCAATGTTTTACCAATGTCCCCTCCCTATTGTCCCCATCCCTTCACTCCTTGCACTCTTTCCTCTCCTCTCACAGCCTTCTCATTCTCATCTCTTTTTTACCCTCCCTCTCTCTCACCTTCTCTTGACTTCTTGCTTCATTCTGTTTTTCTTAGCTCTGTTCTCGATCTCTCTGCTGATCCATTCCCTTGGAGATGACATAGGACTTCCTAGAACACTGCTCATTTGCTGTTGTTCCTGATAAGCTAAAAGACAACAATGATACACGTGAAACAGTTTTAATATTTCAAAACCCTGGGAATCAGACAGATCTTGCAAATATTTCTGTCATTGCATAAGCATATTCTTTGTGGACACCCCCTATTTTGGCCTGAGCCCTGAAATAAGATGGGCAGACTATAATAAGACAGACGTGGCATTTGAAATTGCAAATGCAGTCTACAGATCACTCATAGCAATATAGCAATCCACAAGTAGGATTTCTTGTCCACGTAAATAATTGGTGACATTTGGTCATTAAAAAAAGGAAAGACATTATTTCATCAACATCTCTTACCATTCAAGTTCTGGTAAGATTTGTTTTCCTTGAGGCTTTCTTTGGGTGGCATGACAGAAAGAAAGGAGGGGGAAAGGAAGATACATGGTCAGCTGGATCTTTTGTCCAATCAAAATCATCTCAGTCCCCAAAAGGTTGGTCTAGTCTAGTCTAATTGGATCCAATCCAGTTTTTGGCTATTGCAGAGATCCTAGTTCAAGGCACATGGAACATCAAGCTAAGGGAAGGAAGGAACTGACAGTCTTACTGCCTCTTACAGGTATTGATGTTTTGCTCATCATGATGATTAACACAAGGAGGTTTTCTCCCTTGCCTCTATGCACTCAGATCATTTCTTTCTGATCTCTCATTAATGCTGATTTAAGGAAAGAAAATGTCCTTCCCATATAAATTTTTTAACTTTCAATGTCAATTCAAGGGTTAAGCCCAGGGAAAGTCCAGTGGACAGGGATCTTGTCTTGTTTCCCCCAGCCCAATATCATGACTGAAAGCTGCAATTAACAATTTTTTGTTTCTCTGTTGGACTCACTAGTTAGTTAGCTAGTTAGTTAGTTAGTTAGTTTTCCTGGTATGGCTCCTTTTTCTTTCCCTGTCCTCCTCCTTCTTCCTCTCTCTTTTCCTTTCCTGTACCAACTTAGTAATCTCTGTGAAAGAGAGCACATCTCTGATCCTTAGGACCATGATGGGGAGGATCATTGGCTCATTCTTCTTCTCCCTTTTTTCCCCAGCCATTCTTCAAATACATTATAACAACATCCTTCAAGGCTGCAATTCATGTCATCTTCTACAGGAAGCTTGAATTGATTCTTCCTAAGTCATTAATGATGTTCTTCACCCCTCAAGCTAACACCACACACACATACATAAGTATGTTCTCTCTATATGTAGATATGCTGCATATGTGTATGATTGTTTATATATACATATATAGGTATATATGTATATATATACATATATATACATATATACATATATATATATATATATATTTAAATGTATTCACCTATGATGATAGCTGTAACATAAGGTAAGGTAAGGTAATGTAAGCTTTTTAAGATATTTTTTTTGCCTTTGTGTTCCTGAAACCTACCATATTATTAGACACAGAGGAAGGGAAGGCAAGGGAAGGCAAGGGAAGGCAAGGGAAGAGGAAAAAAGAATATTAGCTTCGTATTCATACTGGAAATGTACCTAAGGAAGTCCTGTGCTCCCTTACACTGAAATTCAAAGTATCTTCCCCTCAGATAGCTGCTTAGTCCTCAGAGAGAGATGACAATTCAGAGGGCCCCTTTCTCTACAACTTCCATGATCTTTGAGAAGTTTTCTTCCTTCCCCTCCACTTTGCCCCTTTTTTCATCTCCTCATCCCCTTTTATTGTCTTTTGTCTTTCCACTTTCCTCTTCACTCTCCTTATTTATTTCTATGCTGTCAGTTCAGGAGGTGATTATGATAAATCAAAAGTGTCATTGGCAAACTGGGCTAGGGGCAGCTAGGTGGCACAGTGGATAGAGCACCAACCCTGAAGTCAGGAGGATCTGAGTTCAAATCTGCCCTCAGACATATAACACTCACTAACTGTGTGACTCTGGGCAAATCACTTAACCCCCCCCAAAAAAAAAAAAAGAAAACCGAGGTGACCACAGGAGGTGTTACAATGGGAAAAGTCCCAGCTCCCCAGACATATGACCTCCAGCTTACTGCTTATCTCTTTGAGACCCAAACAGCATTATATGGCACCTGCTTGGCTCACTACTATGGGCCTGGCCCTGATCCTGGTCCTCTGGCGCTTGATGCAGTAGTTGATTCTGAAACTGTCTTCTCTGAAGCATTTCCCGGTAGAAAATGTGACAGCTGAAGCCCTCCTTGATCCCGTGCTGGGCATGGTGTAAGAGGCCTTCCAAGTTGGGAAAGATCCTGCAACAGGCCAAGCAGCGGAGGCCATAGTTTGTGGTGATCAGCCAGTCAGGCGTTTCCCTCATCTCTTGGGTACAATCTGATGGGACTGGTGTCTCAGACTCTTCAAATTCCTGAAAGGCATCTCCCTCCCAAGGATCAATTTCACTGACCATGTCACTAGTAGAAATACTTTCAAGGGGAGAGCCGGCCCTCCTCTGCCTCTCAGGGAATTCAGCCTCCCTTACCCGAGGCCTAATACCAATTGGCTCAAACCCAGACTCTGTCTCCCAGGCCACAGCCACACCCCGAACCGTCTGCACCCGGGTGTAAAAGGCATACGTGTTTTGCTGAGACTTGTTCTCCTCTGGGTTGGTTATTGAAGAGAAGCAAGAGTAATACTGTGAACAAGACTGGTAGGCTGAGAGAGTTCTACTCCTCCCCTGCTGACTGTGAGCCTTGAACTCTAAGCCAGCATCTTGGGCTATGCTTATTGAAGGTCCAGGGACGGGTGCACATTCTTCTTCCTTCACATCTCCTATAGAATGAAATTAAACTATCATCAATTTCCTTTTACACAGTCAGTCCACTCACATTTGTTATGTGTTTACCTAGTGCCAGGCACTGTGCAGAGCTCTGAGAATACAATGCAAAAGGAAAAAAATGATGCCTTACTCTCAAAGAGCTCACATTCTAACAGGGAGACGCCATCTACGTGAGGCATTACATCCAAGATGAATGCAGAGTAGAAGAACGCAGACTTAGAGGGAAAGGCACTAGCTGCTGCAGGAGGTGATGATTGAGCTGCATCTGCAGAGAATCCTGAAACTAAGGGGTCAGATGAGAGAGGCACGGGGATCAGCCAAGGCCAAGACAAGGAGGGAGGAGATGGAGGATTGCCCACGAGACATAGCAAGTCAATTAGTGTGGTTGGACCACACGGTGCATTCACGGGAGTTACGTGTTGAACAAAACTGGAAAGATGGAAAGGAGTCAGGTGGTAAAGAGTTTTAGATAATCAATATCAGACTTTATATTTGATCCTAGAGGTAAGAGTGAGGCAGCTAGGGGGTTCCATAGTGAACACAGCCCTAGGCCTGGAGTCAGAAAGCCCTGAGTTCAAATCCAGATTCAGATATATATTTATTGCAATTAGTAGTAGTAGTAATAATGGTAGTAGTAGTAGTAGCAGCAGCAGCAGCAGCAGCAGCAGCAGCAGTAGTAGTAGTAGTAGTAGTAGTAGTAGTAGTATGGACTCAAGTTCAGGCCTTTCTGATTCCAATATCACAATTAATGAGAAGTTAGGTACTGATTCTGGTGTGTCATCAGTGAGTTATCTCACTGGACTTAGAGTCAAGGGATTCTCTGTCTTCCATTTTCTTGCTGGGTAATTTTGGAAGATTCACTTTACCTTTCTAAGCCTCTGTTGCCTCATCTGGAAAAAGAGGAAAATAATTGCACCTACCTCACAGGGTTATGGTGAAGAGAAAATGGTATAACGTACGTAAAGCTCTTTGTAAACCTTAAAGTACTATTTAAACATGGGTTATTTATCAATTATCATGACTGAGGTTGGTGGTATGGATCTTATTTCACATTATTGTTGTTGTTGTTATTGTTGTCATCCAAAGCCTCCTGAGAGTTTCAATCTCCCCTCCCATACCTTTGACTAGGGAGGGGTGGGGAACCTGTGGCCTTGAGGCCACACGTGACCCTCTAGGTCCTTAAGTATGGCCTTTTGACTAAACCCAAACTTCACAGAACATATCATTTTATTAAGAGGATTTGTTCTGTGAAGTTTGGATTCAGTGAAAGGACAACACTTGAGGACCTAGAGGGCCACATGTGGCCTCGAGACCATAGTTCCCCACTGCTGGACCAGGGTAACTAAGCCTGTATCACTACTGAAAGAAATTTCAACTAAGGAATAAATTCTTATTTATGCATGCAGAAAGATTGCATCAATGGATCCACCCAGATAACCTTGTAAGAACTGTTCTCCTAAAAGAATAATCATTTTCATTGTCACAGAACCTTTTGACATGGGTAGACTTCAATGCCTTTCTTTCCACCCCTGACATCCTAAGAAATCAGCTTTTGCTCTGCCCTGAGCTCTGTTTCTTCTTACCTGCCTGCTTCCACAAAGGTACCCAGTTCACATCATCCAATTCCTCGGCAGGTTGGCATGGAGCCTTGCTGTAGGGCAGATCCTTCTCATTCCCAGTATCAACATAATGGCGTTTCATGATTAGCAAACTTAACAACCCTTGGCAAGGTCCTTAAAACCACCTGATTCCCTTCTTCCCTGCTCTAAGTAGGTTCTCAATGTTCTTGTAGTTGGTGGCAGGTTTGCCTCTGCTCCAAATATGTTGACTCACAAGGATGGACCTAGGCAGTAGCTCTCAGATATTGCTTCAGTCTGAGCAGCTGTTAGGGTCCAAATGGTCACCAAGGCCCCTGAAGCGTTCTGTGACCTCGTCAATGACATGGGATGGTTCTGGGACCTCAGGTGAAGATCAGACATGGCAACAGCAGAAGCAATCCACCTCGGCAACAAGGGGAATAAGCATTTACCAACTTGGTCTCAGGCTTCCATTTTTGAGGAAGATGCACACATACCACTAAAACAAATCATGTGCTTGCACAATAACAATATAAAAGTGCTCATGACTTGAAAGATAAATGAATAAATAGATAGAAAAATAGATAAATTAATGAATGAATAAGTAAATGGATGATGAATGCACAAATGAATGAATGAATGAATAAATCTGGTAGATGGAGGAATAGATAAATGAATGAATAAATATGTAAATACAAATAAGGAAATAAATGAATTTTAAATAGATGTGAATAGAGAAATAAATGGATAACAGAAAGAAGGAAACAAAGAAAGAGGAAAAAGAAAGAAAGGAAGGAAAGAAGGAGAGAATGGCTTGTTTTTCATTTTTCAGAGTATGATATCCTAATTTATGGACCTTTATGTAGATTTTCACAACAATCCTTTAAGATAGGCCCTATAGGGTACTAACATCTCCCATTTACAAATGAAAAAATGAAGGCCTAAAGATATTAAGTAATTTACTTAAGATCACACAGTTTTTAAGGCAAAGCTAAGACCTGAACTCAGATCATCTAATTCCAAATTTATTGCATACATTATACTGCTTAAATAATTGGATATTATCCAGTGATTGATGGATAACTAAGATAATAGGTTATACAAACCTCATCCTAATTAATAATTTTGAGCTCTCCTCCTATACCTTTTATTAGCCATCCTAACATGTGTTAGAATTGTTCCGATAGGATCTTCATCTTTGATGAATTGCCTTTCTCCTGTGCTCACTTCATCAAACTCACCAATCCCTGTTGAGTCTTAATATCTCCCTTTTCTTGTGCTTATACTGCTATCACATCAGCTTAGATGCCTAATTACCTCCCATCTGGAATACTACTACAAACTTCTCCAAGTCAGTTAGTTCAGGCCTCTAAATGAGGCCAGAAGCCAGCATGATTTCCAATATCCTGTAGGAGCAAAGCAGGGAACAAAGCAGGCTCTTTGGTAGGTCACTGCCCATGAAGGGGTTCTCTGTGTGTGTGTGTGTGTGTGTGTGTGTGTGTTGGTCCAGGGGGAAAGCAGTTGGAGAGTGAAATCTAGGAGTTCTGAAAGTTTGATTTCCAAAATTTAGTGTTGGGCAATCAAGGAGATGGAAAGGAAGCAGATGCACCCAGAGCCTTCCAGGATGCCTAAAGCCAGCTCAGTCTCCAAGATACACTAACACTATTTTAAGAGTCTTTTTAAAAATTTTATTGGCCTGCAGACACATCAGGAGACCCTGCCATGCCTCTTACAGAGGAGATCCAGTCCATGATGACTAAGGTAAGAACAAAGACAGAGATCAGAGATAGGTCCCAGGCTGAAGGCTATGCACTTTCCCATTAAATCCATGTTGGGCCTCCATGGGATATGATGGCCTAACACGTGGGTGAAGAACACAGACTCAGCAGTGATGTCTGTTTCTCTCTCTGTTTCTGCAGTCTTTGGTGTTGCAGATGTCAGAAGGGCCTTCTATTGGAAACCGGCTATTGGTGACTTGTTGAAGAGACAGGATTTATTTGTTTGGTCCGTGGTCAGTGACAATGATTCTCAGATGGCACATAAGTTAGATCAGTTTCTGAGTATCAATGACAAAGTGGAATACTTCAGCTGTGAAGTGGTGAGTATCTGGGTTAGGCCTTGGGGCCCTGAAGGCTGAAGAAGGAATCAGAAAAGCTATCTGCCAAGCACCCACTCTAATCAACAATACCATAACAGAGCTCTGAATCCCTGTCTAAGCTCAGTGTGGCCGCACAGTGGTATACAAAAGATCCTCACAGAACTACCTCTGTGGACTTCAGCCTGGAGGAAGGTTATCAGAGTCCGTCACAGTTATATCAAGGGAAAAAGTCAACTCCCAGTTGGTGATGGCGCAAGTAGAAAGAGATGGAGAGAAAACTAAAGCCAAGGTCTTCATTGGGCCACCAGGTGCTTGAAAAGAAGGCTTATTCTAGGTCCTGTTCCCTGTCCCAGGGAGAACGGGGAGGAGAACCATGAACAAACTCTCCCATTCAGAATTGCCCAGAGCATCAGCAACAGAATCTAGCCTAGCGAGAAGACAAGACTCAAGGCTCAAGGGCCAGCCACCCAAGTGGGCAAGATAGGGCAGAACCTGGCCCCTTCATAAAGTTCCAATCTGAGAAGTGAGCCTAGAGTAATCAACAGAAAGAGAAAACCCCAAATGCAATTAATAAATATTACAACTGAAGAAGAACCTGGGGGGAAAACCAGAAAAATAGAGTAACTTTACAGTAAATACAAGTTAAGCTTAGGAAAAAATGGCTCCAAGAATGGATGAAGGAAATTAGACAAGAGATAAAAAATCAAATTAGCACTCAAGGGAAAAAAATAGAAAGACTGAATGGCTTAGAACAGAAGACAGAAATCATAACCCAAGCAGTGGATTCACTAATAAGAGATGAGAGCAAAGATAACTCAATGGGGGGAGACAGTTCCTGTATGTTAGCAGCTTACAGGAACATTTTTTACCTTCAGGTTCATGAATATGTTCTAAATGACTGAGGTTGCTAGAGATCTTATCTATAAATAAAGAATGGGTTATAGTAATTTTGGCACTAGTCATTCAGTTGTTTTTTATTGTTTGTCCTTCATTCTTTAAGAGGACCGTGGTATCAGGAAGGTGAAGCCATGACATGTGAGTGAACCAGATTTAAGTGAGGGAGGGCTGTGCAAAGTCACCAGCCTCCCTCTCCTCTGGAGCCATCTGGGTCCAGTGGCAAGATATGGATCAGGATGACTAGAGATGGACCCAGATGCAACGGAAAACCTTGGCCCTTTTAAGCTAAGGTCTTTCCCAATTCTCAATTAAAAACCTAGACAACTGATAGACTATTTAGCTTACATTTATACAGACATGCTTAAAATATCTTTAACTTCTCAAGACTTTGAATGGAGAAATGGATGGTTGACTGCATCATATCACAAAGAGTAGAAAAGAAAATTTCATCCAGTAAATATCTGAGCAGAAAAGGAGATGGACTGGTCATGTTGTTCATCCTTCATAACAGAAGAGGACCAATGACATCATGATGTTGGGGTCAAACAATGTATCAACTGTGGCCGATCAGTCCAATAAGAGCTCAGAAAGCTCTATCACAAGTTGGGCACAAATAATCCAAATATTTGAGATGGAGATGTCTCCAGATTTGCGCATCTCCTGTTTTCCTCTTTGCTACTGAGATTCTGCCTTGCTCAAAGAGCACAGTGCCTTCTTTAATGCAGGCATGCCATTCTGGGCCAGTGTCTCCCATGCCTCACAATCAATTCCAAAGTTCTCAGAGAGATCTTTAGAGTGTCCTTATTATTGCTTCTTCTGACCTCCATGTGAGCATCTGCCTTATGAGAGTTCTCCATTAAAATAGCCTTTTAGGTAAATGTACATTTGTCATTTAAGTTACGTGGCCAGCCCAACACAGTTGTGCTCTCTGCAGTACAGTCTGAATGTCCGGCCATTCAGCTCAAGAGCAGACCTCAGTGTCTGGCACCTTATCTTGCTAGGTGATCTTCAGAATCTTTCTAAGACAATTCAAGTGGATGCAGTTCAAATTCCTGGCATCGCTGGTAGACTGTCCAGATTTCACAGTGAAATGTGTGAAATGTGTGAAACAATGAAGTCAGCACAATGGCTCTGTACACCTTCAGTTTGGTGGGCAGCCTAATGCCTTTTCTCTCCCACATTTTCTTTTGGAGCCTCCCAAACGCTGAGCTAGTTCTGGCAATGCGTGTGTCGACCTCATCATCCAAGTAGACATCCCTGGAAAGCATATGGCCAAGAAAAGTGAACTGGTCATATAATAGGGGCATAGAAGGAAAACAGATGGACAGCCTGAAAGGGGGAGCTGATCCCTGGAGGATTTGTGGGAAGACGTGAATAAGAATCACATGAGATGTGAAACCTGGCTGGGCCGAAGCCTGAACTAGTAGTTGGAGTACCCTGAGCAATGGGAACACAGATGCATTGAAATATTTTCAAAACAAAAAAAACAAAACGAGGCACTTTCAAAATCATTTAAAATCCCTTTGCTTACAAACAATGTGCTCTTTGGAATGATTCCTATTCCTTAATGTCAGGCACAAAGTAGAATTCTCAGTGACACTTTGTTAATCTCCATTTATATTATTGTATACTTGAAAGTAATTTAAGTATATTTCTTCACAAGAATTTTATTATTCAGACCTTCAACTGGCTATGGCTAACATTTTTAGGCCCTCCCCCTTTCTCTACCTAAATTCATATACATTATTCAAAATTCGGGATGCTTAATTAACAATATCTATAATTAGAGGGTTGTTGTGAAGAAAGTGCTTTATAAATCTTAAAGTGCTATAGAAATGTGAATTCTTAACATAGGATAATAAAATAATAAGACTAAAAATTCAAGTTGTAAATGGTAGATGATTTTAGATTCGTTGAATTGGAATTCATTGAACTGGAAAGGATCTCAGAACAATATTTCATGGAGGGGGAAAATGTCTTACTTTGAAAGAAAATGTTAAAACCTTCCAAAATGTTAAAAACATATCCAAGAAAAACTATTCTGGAAGGAGAAATATATTCAGAAATACAAAATATGTCAATAAAAATTAATATAAAAATCATAATGTAATATTTGAAAAATAACTGGCCTCCTGGAATTTATAAGTCAAAAGACAAGCATCCCCCTTTGGTCTTGAAAGTGATTTGGGACTTGAAATCTTTGAGCAGGAAGAAGGACTTTAGTCACTCCTAGGAGATCTTAAAGGGGAAAAAACTGTAAGAGATAGGCTGAGAGGAAGGAGTGGGAGAACTATTTCCCCAGCCTCCCCTGGGACCTAATCTTCTGAATGAGAAAGCATTGA